AATCAAAACAGTACCGTGTAAAAGTAGTTTTCTCACCTCTGGATTTCTTGCTCTTCTAAGTTGTCAAACAAGCTTCAATGTCAGAATAAAAAAGCTTTATTTGATCTAAAGAAAACCTAAATCTAACCCCAGGTTGTGTGAAACAGTCCTTGCCACCTAAACCTAACGAGTCCCATTAAGAATGTATAATGGTGGACCCTTTACATCACTCTGAAGGGTTTTAGCACTCTCTGCTTTAAAGTTGTTTTAATTCATTCTCTGGAGGGTTTGTGGGCATCAACAGGCTGTTTTAGGTAATGCCACAACTTTGTGATCAGATTTAATTTCTATATATGACAAAAGCACTAATGAAGGTGATATATATATATATATATATCTATATATATATATATATATATATAATTTTTTTTTTACCTTAAACGTAATTTTGCTTGAGATAAGGACACAAAGTGATTAAGAGCACAAAAAAAAGTCTTGTCTTCTACAGTAGGTAATACATTTTCTTAACAGCTTAAGTGTGGTTCTAAATTGTTGACTCTTAAGGGGGTAATTTTGCTCAAACTCAGGTTTTAGATGGCAAATTCCAAAACTTTGTGGTTTGTTTCCCTATTTGTGGGCAGTATTGGCATAGACCAAACAAGCAGTGATGATTTAACAAAAAGAGAATCTACCGGTATGTACTTTTTACACTGATGAATGTATCAGTGTAAGATATAAGAAAGCATTGTAGAAATAATTTTTAGCTGTTGGGTTTCAATTGAATATTAAATTACTTTTTGCTTGAGAACAAAATGCCAAATATTGGTTCCATGTTTTAGATTATCTTATATAAAGCTTATTTTAAAAAGTACAGATGTCATAGGTAATATTTTTGACCCTATCACAAATCTAAATATTTTAAGAAACAAGCATTTTTTTCCCAGTTTTTTAAATACTTATTCAGTACTTGAAACTCCTTAAACAGAATTTAAATCAAATGTCAGGGATCAGAAAGTCGGACCCAGAATTCAGGCAGACAGAACATTAATTATTTCAAACAAAACATTTTATTGATTGCTCTGTAATCTGCAGCTCGTCAGCTGGGACCGGATGACTGGAATCTCTGGTTTTTAAGTTCAGTCCCAGCCCAGAGGAAGGAGTGGAATCCAGCCAAAGGATTTCTCCACTGCATGTGGCTCCTGCCGCATGCTGAGAGAGTTCCAGGAGTCAAGCAGAGCAAACTGACGAGCAGAAGCCAGCAGACAACGAAGAGCAGAAGTAACCAGAGAGAAAATCCAGAGTAGGTGTTGATGCAGGAGCAGATACCCAGGCTAGTACATCAGAGAACCAAAGAGGTGCAA